TCAGTGGCGGCGCGTGGCAGCTGCCATGTCAGCATGCCCAGAAGACAATTTGCAAGCCAGCCACCATGCCGAGTCAACAGAGCGTCGCCGTAGTTCACCCAGTTGCCAGCGTAGAGCCAGCGTCGTAGCGTCGCACGAGCGTTGTCGTCAAAGCATGAAGTCAACATTGATGCAAAACAGGATGTCCCTCGAAGCCAGGAGGTCAACGCTTATGTAGTGTTGACGCGAGGTCTGGGCCCCAGGTGCTGCATCCCTCAGGCGTCGAGATCCCAACGCAAACGACGGCCCAAATTTGCCTGAAACAGAATTCCCTGTGGCCGTGATGTTGTCTGGGTACCTGCGCACAACAAGTGAGTGTATCCGACCAAGGGCCTGCAAGCGGTACCTTTGACTTGATAGTCGACTTGGACCCTTGAGTTTCCAGGGGGCAGTGCGTGGTCGCACTGCCTGGTGCAGGCCGTGTTTGGCCTGTGTCGTCTGGGTGCAGTTTCGGGCCCCCAGACTGCTGCGAAACATGGGTTACTGCATTCCTGCCGACCCATTTTCGAGTTCCATCACATAAATAATTAAGACCTTAACCCACGTTCATAAGCAGACACTATGTTAGGAGCAGTTTCAAGTAATTCTCTTTTACTAAACCATGTGTCCTCAAACGGAGACTGAGACTTGAACCGTACCTTGAACTGCTTTTGTGGTTGTCCCCGTCCTCCTGTAGAAAAGAATCCATGTTCAATGATCCGATCTACTTCATACCGGCCTTCCATTGATGGCAGAATCACAGATGGTCTGTTTGGGAATTCTTTGTCTTCTACATAGGGTAATAGTTTGGACGCATGAAAGACTGGATACGTTTTTAGGAGAGGGGGAATATCAATACGATAAGACGGTCCCTCCGAATCCCCAATCACTTTGAGAACTTCCTAGAGTCCAAAATAGACAGGCAGTAGGTTTTGAGACACATCTTCTTCCAATGAAAACTCTTTGGACTTGACCTAGACTAGATCACCTTCCTTGAATGTAGATGGTCGATGATGCTTGTTAGCTTGTTCAATCATTTGGGCCTGAGCTTTCTTCAGATTTTCCTTTACTTTCTTGATGTCTTCTTGAAACAATACTGCATATTCCCGGGTCCCTGGAGGTAACCTAAGAAATTGGTCCCTTGTCAACACATCAATGGGACGCTTAGGTTTCCAACCTTTATGCAATGCATTAGGCGTACGCCCTGTAGCAGTATGAATACTACTGTTATATGCACTTGCGATCTTGGGTAAGTTCTCGTCCCAATCAATCTGATCGGGTCTCACATACATGCGCAAAAGCTGTTGGCATTGATGGTTCATCTGTTCAGTCTGGCCATTCGTCTCAGGATGTCGTCTTGATGACATGGTCAACCGTGTGCCATATGCTTCCATAAGCTTTTGCCATGTCATACTTGTGAACCTGACATCGCGATCAGACACAATAGACTCAGGAAAAACATACTCCGTCATCCATCTCATCTGAAACTTTTGAATGACAAGTTTAGTTTGCGCTTCTGCAGGTAAGGGAATAAACATGGCGTATTTAGAGAAACGATCCACAATAACCATTACTTGGTTGTTGCCATTGCGACTTTTGGTGAGACTCGTAAAATCAATTGAGATGTACTCACCTGGTTCGCTAGGAATCGGTAATGGTTTCAGAAGACCGAGTGGATTTTCATGCGAAGGTTTGTTTTTCTGGCACACCAAACATGTACGAACATAAGTTTGTACGTCTTATTTCAATCCCTTCCATTCAAAACATTCCCTAACCTCAGCGTAAGTTTTATTGAAACCAAAATGTCCCTCAGTGTCGTGACATTCCCCAATCAACAGACTTTTGATTTCTTCCTTGTGGGGAATACACAATCTTTGTTCAGTTTGGTCTAGCAAGAAAAGCAAGCCATCAGTTACTCTATAGTTGGGAAGTAATGTTGAGTCTTTCGCAAGGACATTCATGATAGGTTTCCAGATAGGGTCAAGAACATATCCTTGACGGATTTTATCTTTCACATCATTCCCAACATCTAAGTATGAGACAATAGTACCAAAGAAATCACATCGTCTGGACAATGCATCTGCAACCACATTAGACTTACCTTTGATAGTTTTCAACTCAAAATAAAAAGTATCAATGCAGACCATCAATGCAGAGAGTTTAGGCTTTGTCTTTATCCACTTTAGTGTCGAGTGGTCTGAGTACACAGTGAAGTGTCTCCCTAACAAGTAGTGCTTCCATGTGTCCAGCGCATTGACTAAAGCATACAATTATTTTTCATAAGTGGAGTTGGCAACCTTTTCCGATGGCAATCGTGCACACATAAACTCAATGGATCTATAACCCTTGCCGTCGTTTTGTTGAAGGACTGCGCCAATCCCATACTGACTTGCATCAATAGTGACAATGAAGAGAAGTGATGGATCAACAATTTTCAGAACCGGATAGTGAGTCAAAGCATACTTTACCTTCTTAAAGGAAGACTCACAGTCCTTGTCCCACAACCAGATGTAACTTGAGAAGTCATCTGCTGCCTTTGTAGAGCGAGGTCTCAAAATTACCTATAATTATATTTCCCGGACTTTGCTTCGGCCACCAAGTGTCCCCAGATGGGCTCAGGCAACGCGCGGGCATAAGTATACAACACTTGGCTGTCTTGCAGGTTCAATCCTGGAACCTGCAGCAATCGGTCGACTTCACAGGACAAAGCTTTGACCGATGTCCAATGCTTTTGACCAATCGTAGTTAATTGGTCAAACGCCTTGTCCGCCGTCGTCTTGTTTAGGAAGCGGTCCCTGATTTTGGCCAAGAACTGTTCCAGGGTCAATGTCTTTGCCCATTCACCGATGTCTTCAAAACCCGCGGCGTTGGCCTCGGCCAACACCCATTGTTTGGCCTCACCTCCCATGCAAGAGGTGGTGAACGCCACATGGGAGTCTGGCTCGACCGGGGCGGTGCTTACATACTTTTGGATTTCAACAATCCACATAAGCAAACTTTTATCTTTCTTGTTATTAAAAGTAAAAGGCAATTGCATTTTCACTTTTTCTTTCTTCTTTGGCACCTCCGATTCTGCACTTGTCGTATCCGGGGTTGTCGAAGAAGAAGGAGACTTGGAAGAAGTAGTAGAATGAGGAGAATTAGGCGGAGACGGAGGTGGACTCGGCGGTCCATTCCCATTGGTCGACGTCTCAACTTTAGGACCAGCAGACTTGATGGCATCACTCATCAACTTCTTCACATTTGTTACGATCCTGGCCCAATTTCGAAATAGACATTCATCTTAAAATACAATGCCATCCAATTGCAAAAAGAAATGGCTGAACTTGAGAGGAGAGAGAGGGAAAGAAGAAGAAGAAGAAGTAAGAAAGAAGAAAAAGATGATGTACTCCAGCATAGACCAATGACAAGGCTCTTCTTCTTCGCCAACCAATCTCTTCCTCCTTATCTCCTCACCTCTTATTCAAACAAGAAATAACAATAATAATGTTGAATGATTGAACCAGAATCAATGTCCGAATCCCACTTCTACTACATGCACAACATGAGGCCCACCATAGCCATGGCCACCCTTCCTCTTCCTCTGCATACAAGCCGAGGCTATGGCGGAGCACTGAGGGCTCTCCCTCCTGTCCAAAGGACAACCCAAAGCAGCTATGTCGCTGCCCTTCTGTCCCCCCGTCAACACCATGCAGCTACACCGCTGCCCCACTCAACCGTCATGCCTGACTCTGCCCCGAACTTCCTTGATGCGGCACTACCCCCACTGGGGCCTTCCAGATGCAGCGCCTAACAAGGTGATGAAGATGGTGTCTGCCATAGCCAGGTAAGTACCCCACCACTCTCCTCCTTGGTCCCCTTCTCCCTCCTCCTCCTACCGGTAGAGCTCCACCATAGCCAAGGTGGAAGCTCCCGGCTTCTTCCTCCCAGCAGCGCTGTAGTACCCAGCGCCACTCCAGCCAGCGCTCCAGCAGCGTGTCGCCAAACTTGCACACTGAAGAATGAGGCCGAGCTCTTGCCTCGGCCTCTTGATATAGCGGCCTGCTTTCCTCCTGGGCGGTGACTTCCAGGTCGCTCGGCCTCCCAAGCAACCGGTACCTCCTCCCTTTTCGGAGGGAAACATCATTGCAGACTCACATATTGCCCGCACAGGCTCTAGACTCAGACTGGATGGACTGGTACCGGCCTAGACCTAGCCTACCACTACTGGGTCTCTAAAAATGCCAACTTTGTCTTCTTCTTCTCGGCCTCGAGTACCCGGCACATCTACTACTTCTGGGTGCGGTACCGGCCTACCTGCTACTTGAGTGTTTTTCCGCTGCTCTAAGCATCGCGGGCCCCTGGCTCCGCTACTTGAGTGTTTCCCCCGCTGCAACCCTCAATGCCATGGCCACAGGTAAGTACCGGCCCTACGGGCCTGCCAAACAAGCAAGTACCCTTGCGGGTCACACACATGCTCATGCTGACAAGCACTCAGACAGACACGCAAGTCCACAGGCACACACACATACAGACTTAGAAAACACAGCAAAATACGAGAATCTCAACAAGGCATCCATTCCATCGGCAGAACTTCAGAAATCAGCAGTGTTCTCAATCTGTTTATGGCGGGTCATTACACTGTTGTCTTCTCTTCTTTTGCCTCTTCTGTACCTTCTACCAGATTCTTTCCTTTCACAATATTTGTGATTGTTCTCATTCCTACAACAATCTCATCTAACCGAGTTGCTGTTTGTCAATTTTCTCTTCCAAAAAGGTAAGGTAAGTCATAATATGAGAAAACGTATGCGACATGTGAACCTGTTCCCTAGTTTCTGTCCCAATCACTTGTCTAATTTCTCTAAATTTTTGTTCCCTCCTTTGTTCTTGTTCTCTCCTTCTTGCCATCTCTTCTTTCTTTCTTTCTTCCGCGACTAGCGTTTCTTTCAGTTGCGGGATGTTCGCTTCAATCATAGCCTCGGATACTTCTGGTTTAATCTCACCTTTACCAGTCAGTTCCATCATTTCTTCCAACTGTTCTAGTGCAAACTGGTCCAGCGCCTGTCGACACAGGGCAACCAGTTTGGAGACCTCGGTCCCAGCTGCCACAACCTCCACAGCCGTAACAACTTTCTTCAGACGGTCCTCAGCCGTCTTCAAATGAAATCTGTCACGGATGTGTTGTTCGGCATCTGGTCCGGATAGACGCATTTCAGTCAACAGTTGATTCCACAAGGCTAGCAGTTCTTGTTTCCTATTTTCGGCCTGCGTCCGAGTCCTAATCTCGGACGGTCCATCGCCCACAGAGAGCGTGATCGGAACAGGAAACAAAAACGTGGTCACAAACCTCGTCAGAATAGACATCTGCAGATTTTTCCAGAAGCGAGACATTTTCGAAGGACAAAAACAAGAAAATTCGTCGGCCAGGTTTATCTACCTCAAATAAACAAAAGAAGACAATTAATTTGATCGGTCACCCAAGTCAACACAATCTTGAACAAAAAGATTTCAATAAAATGGAACAGAAAGAATTTCACTTTCTCCTATCTAATCTGACTGCTGTTCTGTTTATTCTGTGTGATGACGTCCTATATTAGTACAGGTACCGCATCCGAGGCCAGCGTGATCATCAACAACACACAAGTGAGTACACAGGCACACAACAAAGCTCACGACAACAGGTAAGTCCGCCAACAAACATAACATCAATAGTTAGCGTCTTCCTTTCTGATGTTGTGTTTTCTCAAGTCCGGTGTGATCACACACTCGATCTGACGTCCAGCACCACATTCACGTCAGTCTTCCAACCGTGCCGCCTTCGTCGTCAAAGTGCATCTTCCCACTTAGGCACGTTCGTGCCTGCCACGTGTCACCCCTGGCATGCCAACACAGCAGCTGATCGAGTCTGCCACATCAGCACGTTAGTCCAGTCGTCATCATCAGTGGGGGTACACGTCAGCAACATATGCCTTGATCATCCACTTCAGCCAGCCTGATCTCCTGGAGCGATACCAGCATGTCGCCAGTCAATCATACAATGCCACGTCAGCCAGGCAATGGAACACCACGCCAGACAATGCCACATCAGCCTGGAGCTCCTCACCAYAATAGACGAGTGGTGAGTCAGCACTGCCATTTCATCCTTCCTCAATAATCACTGGCCACGTCAGCAATGTATCCCGATCGCAAATGCGATCGATCGGGATCTGGATCGCAATGCGATCCTGACTGGAACATTCCCTGTCGGGATAGCAATGCCACGTCAGCACCTGACGTGCGTTCTCAAGCGTCGTCCCTTCTCCACGTCAGCACGTATGTCTTCGTCGTCGTCGTTCTCGTACAGGTCATCGTCGGGAGTACAACTCCGATACCAAATTGCAATGAACCCAGATCGTGAAGAGACTTGTCAACAATGCAAGCCCAGATGAATATCAACCTGCTGATGATTATCAATAATCATAATCGTGTCCAGATAGAATGAGATGGGAAAATCATACACAAGGGAAGGAGAGAGGAGGGAGATTAGACTTAGAAGAAGAATAAAAGACAATGCCCACTTCTGCTTCGGGCTC